TTTAAATTACCAGAGCTCTTCAGAAACAAAACGCAGAATTTCTCCATCCGCCGATAAAGTTTCTCAGCGAACGGAGGGGACAACTGCAGACCCAGAAGGTATCCCCGATGACTAATCAGCGTAATACGTCATAATACTAGTCTTGAATGGTGTTGCTGGTCAAAAGTTTTTTTTGTTCAGTAAAATTGTTAACATCATTTGAATCGGGCGTCCATGCTTGAATTAGCGTGGATGAACGATAACTAAGTTCACTTGCATGACTTATACATACCGCCAAAGCAGAGCGGCTGGCTCTGGTCTGTCTCGAACTGGTTTAGGATTTCGCTCTTTCTGCGTATGTTCAAGAACATTAAAACTTCTAGAGTTCTCGAATCTGCCAAAAAAGTGGGTGGAGGGGTTGGGAGGGAGAGAGAGAGAGAAAAGAAAAAGAGAATATGCGGCATGTGAGAACACGTGCTATTTGCGTACTTTTCACTGAACAAATTATTGGATCTCATTTTGCCTAAAAAGCTACAAATTAAAAGTGTATTGCTAAGTGTTTTTCAGCGGCACCTAACGACGGTTACCTCCTACAAAGATTGAAACTAACACTTTTGAGGCTAGCCAGGGTACTTGTAGATATCTAGAAATGCATTCTAAGCGGGGCGATATATAAAATTTGTGCCTGTTCGGTCATCCTAGGGGAATATGAGCCTTTTATAAATTACAAGGGTTTCAGTATTATTTTCCCGAATATTTAAGATGCAATTGAACGTATTACGAAAGTGGGAATTTTTCTGATTTCTCTCTCCATCACATTTTTGAATCCGGGAGTGAAATGTGAAAAATTAAACTTCAGGAAATCGTTGGGGAGTTATTAGATGAACTTCGAAAATTGTACATGAATAGAGCGGTCATCTAGAAATTTTTAGCCGTCCTCAAGTAATTGAAATTTCTAGGAAAATATTTCCTTCTCCGAAGAGATATTTTACAGAAAACAGTCGTTGGGTGCCCATGGTCTTTACTGTTATTGAGACGGTTTCCCAGAATATCTGTTCGGAGAAGGAAATATTTCCTACAAATTTTAGGATCGTATTTTTACCCGATACAACACTGTAATTTTACTGGAGCCGTACTGCGGCACTATCACAGAGCCCTGGTTACCTTTGCTTGCATCAGAGGGCAAAGACAATAATTGCAGATAATTCATATGCGTGTCACGACCTCTCAGTATGAAACGACTTGGATCAACACATGTCAGTAATGTTCGACTAGCCAAGCCAATCAGGAACCCGTTCGCTGGCGAGCAAGGTTTTCAAAATCCTGGGTTTGTCTGAAAGAGTTTCTTTCCTTCCCTTCGCCCTCCCCATCTTTCACTTTTTGGCTCTCGTTCCATTTCTTGAGCGGCCAAAACCGAAAATCCCGTTCCTCGGTCTTTCTTTGCTCAGAAACTGACGGAAACGCTTGCTGCGCAGGCTATCTCTAGCTTTTCCTTCACCAGTCTTGAGGCCGCGCCCACTGTGCATAAACAGAATATTAAGTTCTACGGAAGCGAGTTGGAATAATTGCGATAAGGATTAAAAAAGCGCAAATTTCTGGTCGTCGGGATGTTTCAATATTCGCTAAATTAATGCAGTCGTCGCAAAATTGCAGTCGCTGTCGCTGAAGTATAAATTCGCTATCGCTAAAGGATACATTCGCTGTTACTAAAACTCATTTGCTGTCGCTAAAACTTATACCAGTCACCGTACTGGACGCTTCCGTAGTCCTTGCTTAAAGTCAGCGAGAAAGTACAGGGTGCGCAACAAAGTCACGCGTGTCTCCCTAGCGCGCCCCGTTCTTCCTTGCACCCACTACTTTCAAGCGCCTGCTACGCTGGCTAGCTAAAAGTCATATAATTGACTGTTGTACAGTGACTTGTTATCGTCGTGTTTTAATTTTGAGTACTGTTTATATTAACTGGACAGTGTGAAGAATTAGGACTGTATGTAATGGTGACTCTTGTTGTTGGTTGTAGGTTCCTCTTCAGTTTCAAAGTCCACTGAAGGGAAAACCAATTATTCTCGTCTATGTCGCCTGCTGATCAGCATAGGCTCGCGAGCGCTAAGAGATACATTTGATAGCATAATTCCACCAGAGAATCTTCGAGAATTGTTGAAACGTGACCAGGTGCACTCCAGACTACAGTTGCTGCGAAAGAAAGGAGTCCTTTCTTCATTTCATTGGAGTAAATTGTACCCTGCCACACCCACTGAAGTGTCATCTGCAAGCTTTGATATCCCCCTCTTGATTGTGCTCCTAAGGACAATCTGTAATCTACGTCCTCCACCCGCTGGCTGGGATACACCTCCTCTTACAGCAGACACCAGTCGCGGGTCTGACATTGCGCGTATTAAGTACTTCATGAACGCCGTGTCCAAACATGCCACGGAAGGCTCTATAAGTGATACTGTATTTAGTAGCTACTGGCAGCATATCCGTGACACACTAGTGAGGTTGGGAGGAGCTGATTATGGAGATGTCATTGATGAAATCAAAGACCAGGACATTGAATTCCTCGATGAGGAACATTTCAGAGAACTTCTCAAGCAGTGGAAGAAGGTGGAAGACGAAATCAAAGACAAGCTGAATGAACTTTTGAGTGAAAAAGCTTCTGAGGAGACAGGTATGCTATACAGTAGACCTTTTGCAGCTCGGTTGTCTTTATGGGATACCATCCTTAATCACCAGAGACTGGAAAAAAAAACAGTGGTGGATCTGCCAATTTTTAGGTTTTAAACGAGGAAAGACTTTGACTTGTGTATCAATGGAAAAAGGCGATTTGATTTAGCAATGTTTCCACACTTTTTAAAACCCCTTTAGTTTTGCAGACATCCCAGCACGTATAGACTTTAAGCTTTTATAATAAATCGTGTAGTAGAAATAACACTGTCCTTTTTTACCTTCGGCAGTATTTATAGCACTGATACTAGTGGGGTCGAGAAAATGCCTGAAATAAATAATTCAAATGAAAGTTAACGAAATTCAATAAAAATGCAATTAGCTTTTTAGCGAATGTTCCCACAGACTATATACTCCTATCTCTGGTATTGTTTCATCCCAAGTTATGATATCCATTTGCTGTAGAATTCCGAACGTAACGGTCTCCTCGCAAATAACGGCTACCCGAAAGTAACATCTACTTTTTACTTTTCTTTTAAATCCGCAAAGTAACGGTACCACCAGTAACGGTCAACCCGAAAGTAGTAACGCCGCGATTAGATGCACCCATAACTGTCTTTCGCCCAGAGCACGTGGTCCAGAAGAATTAAGTTTGTCGTGGGAACATCATACACTCAATTAAAAACCCATTCACAATTGTTATTTCGATCACCCCCGCCCCCCTGCGTTTCAGCTCTCTCGATCTGTTACACATCATATTAATATACCGCAACCACTATTTTAAAACTGCAATTAATCAAGGTCAAACAAAAGTCCTCTGCGCCTCGTGATTCAGTTAGTAAACAAGGACTAAAAAGGCAATTGATTGTTAGTGATTTTAAGAAGATGGTCATCGGATTATAGAAGAATAGAAAGTATGATCAAGGTAAGCCGAAGTTGGTTTCAATAATTTTCTTTTAATATTAACAGCTGTTCTTCCAATACTGATTGACTGTGAGGAAATGGTAACCCTTGGCGCACTAGACGCGTCTACAAGAATGGAAACCCAAACTGCGCGTATATCTTTCAACTCAAATGAACTGCAAACTGTTGTCACAGCAGGTCTACAAAAGGAGGCCAGAGAGGTATTAGCCCCAATTGAATCTCAGGAAGAAGTCCAGGGGGCGGCAGTAGTGATTGGTACCTCAGAAACACCCAGAGGGGAGATTACTTCTAGTCGTGGGCGAGAAAATGTCGAAAATAAAGCTGTTTACCCCTCAACACAGGAAGTTCTGAATTTCATGTCGTCGAAATACTTGCAGAACGTTGATCCATCAACACCAGAGGAGTTTAACGGGTTTGTTGAGTACATTGAAAGGGTGCGTAACGCTCTTATTGTGGATGTTACCAGTGGAAGTTTAATTCTCATGGTAGAATGTAGCTCCCTTGAGATCCTGGAAGGACTGTGGGAAGACTACAGCACAGGTTATCTTAACGAAATGGCACAAAAATTCCTTGTGACAGCGGAACTTCTTAGAACGTTTGGTCTAGCTAAAGTTAAACTCACGACTACTATAAAAGAAGAGCAATACAGAGCTTGTCACAAGCTTCTCTCGAAAATTGCAGGTATGTTGATGGGCCATCTTAATCAGTGTTAAACCACTGACTGAGAGTGCATGACTGAGGGAGAGAATTCACAAAAATTAACAAATGAAACTGCAACTGTGGTGAAATTTAGATTTTGCTCTTATTTGCCTATTTGGCTTGATGATACAGTAGATGTTGATAACCAAACGTTGAATAATTATGAATTTAGAAAAATACAGTTCATTTGAGATTTTTAAATTTTTTTTATCATGTTACATCTGGAATCGGTTAAACAAGTTTTTCGCTATTTTAATTTCCATTCATACATAAGACTTAGTTTATCTTTTAGCCAAACATCTTATCTATCTTGTTTGGCAGAAATGAACATTAATAAAACCAACTAGGTGGCCACGCCCACACCGCAAAAATGAAGCCTCCGCTCGCAGTGTACGTTTTATCTAGAGCGCAAAAAAAGTTGGGGACGGGGGGAGACGAAGGATCTGAATGCAGTAAAGGATTAACATTATAGCGTTCGGGTCCTGCGTTCAACTAAAAAACAAGAACATGCAAGGTAATGCTCTCTCTAAGCTCGTCGCAATAGGAGGTTAACCCTGGCTGTTTGTACCTGACCAGTCGAGGTCAACTTTCTGGACCGACACAAATCTTCGGTTGTGTGACGAACAGTCGTAAAACCGATTTCTTTCCGTCGTGCTAATGACATTCTCGTAGGTCAAATTTAAAGCCCCTCTTAGGCGTGGCTCGACAGATAATTATGGCAAGCCAAGTCTGCAGAGCAGTCCGAATGGAGTAAGGGTTTCTCGTGGAGGATTTAAAAACCACGGAATTGTATTTTTATTTGTTTCAAGTTAAGATCGACACACCTGTGCTCTATTCTTTGTTGCAAACAATGATACATCAAGGACCGCGCGCCTCATAATTTTAAGATTCTCAAAATACAGTTTCGCGAGCGTCCCTCGCGCTTTCGGCGCTCACGCAGTTCGTCTTGTGGCAAGTCTATACTGAACTGAACTAACCAACCTCATTAACGTTTCACACGCTTTCAGATGGCTACACGTGGCCTATATTTGGGACACCTAATTGTTAAAATCTTAAGTATAAGATTACATTTGGTTTAATATTTACTTATAGGAAACAGACTTTGTAACTCCTTCTCTCTTGGTAAAAGATTAAATAAAATGCAGTAAAAAACATACAAGTCCGTCCAAATACTTGAAAAATAAAGCGGGAAGCGTATCGAGTGAAGCATATGGTTGAGCCAGCATTGCAATGGACAGCTGTGTTGTGTGTTGTTGAGCCGCACGAAAGCGAGGCAAAATATCCTACCAGCGTCTGGCGAGATTTCAACCTTCATTTGAATGAAATGGATCTGCTCTCTCAGCAATAAATCTCTTTCTTTTGTGATAACCTTTTAGATTTATAGCCTGATCAGGAAAGTACTGATTTTTCTTATGCAGTGCGTAATTCCTTAAAGCGACGCACCATAATCTTTGATTACTACTAGTAATTATAATAATCAGGGCTTCTAATATTTCGCGCGGTCGCGGACCCGCGAAATTCAGGTATTTCCGCGAAATCCCGCGAAATTCCCCAAAAAACGCAAAATACCGCGAAATCCGCCAGAAATATTTCCAAATACATGTCGGCAAAACATATTTAATACTTATCTTGGCTATTAGACCGGTTTTATTAACCCCAAATTCCAAATGTAGCTTGAAACTTCATCACTGCAACGAGTAAACAACATCCCAAAACTACCAGGCGTTTTTAGATGAACGTTGCGAAAAACTGGGCACTAACCATAATGTTGATGGCTTTAACATGCGTTCATTTCTCGAGCGAACTGTGTTGTTGAAAGAGCAAATGATTATCCGTGTTAAAAAAAAACGTTTACCAACGCTTGGCATATCGACGCAAAATTGATCGATTTTAGCGAAATTTGCCAAAAAAAACCCAGCGAAATCGGCTGTTTTTTACTGATTGTCTCTTGGCGAAGTTTTCCCCCGAAATTTCTCGTGAAATCGGCCGATTTTCCTAAGAAATTCTTAGGAAATTATTTGCCCTGAAAATCCTTCGAAAATTGACTCTTTTCCTCTAAAATCCCGCGAAACGGGCCGATTTTTCTGAGAATTTTGACTTTTTTCCCGCGAAAATCGCCTGAAATCGGCCGATTGTTCCGCGAATTTTGACTTTTTCCCGCGAAAATCCCGCGAAATCGGCCGATTTTTCCGCGAATTTGCCCCTGAAAATCCCGCGAAATTTTGCTTTTTTTCCGCGAAATATCAGAAGCCCTGAATAATGTGTTGACAAGAGGAAGAGAGAATTAATTAGCTCATTCTCTCTTGGTCTTGATTAGTAAAGCAAAAAACAAACAAAACCAAAAAAGTTCTTCCCACTTGTGAAACTCTCCTAATCCATGGAAGTCAAGAATGAAAGTGTTTTTTCTTTTGTTTTGCTTTGCTTTTTCAGTAACGATATAACTTGTAACTGTGACCTACTGGTTTGTATTCCATCAGGTCCTGAGCAAGGGGGGGTAAAAGATGCTAGTGATCTTTCATCTGGGGTGTTCACAGAATCTTGTACAAGTGAGCAAGCTCATCATGACCAAGCTGGTAAGATACAGTTGTATTTATAAATACTTTTGTCTAATATATAGATAGATTTAACCAAGCCTAACAGCGAGGCTTCTGTTTAAAAACTAATTAATCAATATAATTTAAGGAGCCCTTGTAATGATTTACCTTTTGAGGTATTATGCCACTTATTTTGAGGTTCTTTTCAACTTCAGCTAAAGCGGCATTCATAGAAAAGAGAGGAACCTTAATTGCACAATATTCATGAAAGACAATCAAAACGTGAATAATTTTTCAACAACAACAACAACAGTTTTTATTCAGGGAGGCAAATCTTATTTGAAACCTTGTTCCCTTTGTTGCAGTACAAGTATTTTAGCCGGCTTTGTGTTTGAAGTGGCGAATACTAGATAAACGTACCTCGAAGCAGGTCGTTCGCTTAAAGCTTTCTTTTTACAAGCGGATACGACAACAGGAATTGATTGTAGATACGCTTTTCTTCTTTATTTTTGCAACTAGAAAAATGTTATAAGCCTGAAGAAGGCTGGTATGGCCAGCCGAAATATTGTTATAAAAAAACAATAAACGTTGTTTTAAATCAGCTTTGCAGTAGTCTTTGGACTTCTCGTTCTTGGTTATAAGCTTGTGTAGTTTAAACCTGTAATAAACGATATTTTCAAAGTTACTTTTAAAACTGGAAGAGGCAAAACGCAAATAACTTCTAAGAGTGTTATCGTTCTTTCACAACAGAAGATACAGAATGGAACTTACCACTAAAATCAGTTAATAATTTGTGTATTTGTCGATACATATCCTGTATATTTTGGTTTTATTTCACATGTTAATCATTCTTTTTCTGTTATTTGAATTTTCTGAAAGGTATTAAATTTCGCGAGGACTTTTATTCGCGAGTCTTTAATTGCGTGATTTTTTTAACAATCGCGAAAAACGCAAAATTAAAAGACCCGCGAGAATAAATACCAATAAGGTAGATCTGGCTCTTCATCTAACCGAAAAATTGGTCAATTGACTATTGTACAGTGACTTGGAATAGTGGTGTTCTATTTTTGAGTACTGTCTGAAGAATTAGGACTGTATGTAATGGTAACTCTTGTTGTTGGTTGTAGAATCCTCTTCAGTTTCAAAGTCCACTCAAGGGAAAACCAATTATTCTCGTCTATGTCGCCTGCTGATCAGCATAGGCTCGCGTGTGCTAAGAGATACATTTGATAGCATAATTCCAGCAGAGAATCTTCGAGAATTGTTGAAACGTGACCAGGCGCACTCCAGACTACAGTTACTGCGAAAGAAAAGAGTCCTTTCTTCATTTCATTGGAGTAAATTGTACCCTGCCACACCCACTGAAGTGTCATCTGCAAGCTTTGATATCCCCCTCTTGATTGTGCTTCTAAGGACAATCTGTAATCTGAGTCCTCCACCCGCTGGTTGGGATACACCTCCTCTTACAGCAGACACCAATCGCGAGTCTGACATTGCGCGCATAAAGTACTTCATGAACGCCTTGTCCAAGCATGCCACGGAAGGCTCTGTGAGTAATGCTGTATTCAGTAGCTACTGGCAGCATATCCGTGACACACTAGTGAGGTTGGGAGGGGCTGATTATGGAGATGTGATTGATGAAATGAAAGACCAGGATATTGAATTCCTCGATGTGGAACATTTCAGAGAACTTCTCAAGCAGTGGAAGAAGGTGGAAGACGAAATCAAAGACAAGCTGAATGAGCTTTTGAGTGAAAAAGCTTCTGAGGAAACAGGTATGCTTTACAGTAGACCTTTTGCAGCTCGGGTGTCTATATGGGATACCATCCTTAATTACCAGAGATTGGAAAAAAAAAACATTGGTGGATCTGCCAATTTTTTAGTTTTAAACGACTTTGACTTTTGTATCAATGGAAAAAGGCGATTTGATTTAGCAATTTTTTCCACACTTTTTAAAGGAAAAGTATCCCGTTACTGCGCATGCACCAAACTTTTATTTTTGGACAGGATGTCGCGAAATCAAAAGATGCGAGGAGAGTAAGAGAACCTTGAAAAATCCGTTTGCATCGCGCTTGACCGGGTTCAATACGACACTAAAACTTCTCAGGATTACAGATCAATGATATATTGTTCCTGTTAAGTTTCGATTTGGGCAAAATCTGGATTTTTTGGCGTT